GTGATTTATGTCAAAATGTGTTCAACTGATGTTTTCCTCTATAAATCTAACATTTTATTTGAGAACTTTTGAAAAGTAGTTAATGCCCTTTTTAGTTAATTAAATACTTTTGATGTCTTAAACTTCAGTTATAAATTTAATATATTTCTTTTTTAGGTACCCAGTAGTCTGATTTCAATCTTTTCAAAATACTTAAGTAACTCATATAAATCTAACATGTTAGATGAATAACTATATTGATTTTAATGCTTTTATATCTTTCAAATTATTTTGTAAATGTAGTAAGATTTTATTTTATAATCATAAATCTCAGTCAGTTGCTCTGTTTCACATTTTAAATTGAAGTTACAAAGGTAAACTGGGCCCAAATATAAAATTACCTGAAATACCCAAAGATTTATTTTTTAACTAATTTATTTTTAATTGAAGGATAATTGCTTTACAGAATTTTGTAATTTTCTGTCACACTTCAACATGAATCAACCATATATATGCCCCCTATCTCTCAAACTTTCTTCCCACCTCCATCCCCAATCCATCCCTATAGGTTGACACAGAGCCCCTGTTTGAGTTTCCTAAGCCATGTAGCAAATTCCCATTGACTATCTGTTTTACATATCTAAATACACAGGTTGCTTAAGCATAGTACTAATAACATAGGTATGATTGTTTTAAGCATATGTACTTTTAATTCTACATCTTTCCACTTTGAGATATACTTATTCACCAAAACAACAAATGTCATCTGTGTTGGTTTCCTAGAGGAATATATTATGGTGGCCTTTATTTTATTTCAATTTTTAAGAATTGTGGAAAAATAAAAAGCATAAAATGTTCAATTCAGTTCAGTTGCCCAGTCCTGTCTGACTCTTTGCAACCCCATGGACTGCAGCATGCCAGGCTTCCCTGTCCATCATCAACTCCCGGAGCTTACTTAAACTCATGTCCATTGAGTGGATGATGCCATCCAACCATCTTATCCTCTGTTGTTCCCTTCTCCTCCAGCCTTCAGTCTTTCCCAGCATCAGGATCTTTTTCCAGTGAGTCATTTCTTTCAGGACTGATTTCCTTTAGGATTGACTGGTTTGATCTCCTTGCAGTTCAAGGTACTATCAGGAGTTTTCTCCAGTGCCACGGTTTGAAAGCACCGATTCTTTGGCACTCAGCTTTCTTTATGGTCCAACTCTCACATCCATACTGACTACTCGAAAAACCATAACTTTGACTAGATGGACCTTTGTTGGCAAAGTAATGTCTCTGCTTTGTAATATGCTATCTAGGTTGGTCATAGCTTTTACTCCAAGGAACAAGCATCTTTTAATTTCATGGCTACAGTCACAGTCTACAATGATTTTGGAGCCCAGGAAATAAAGTCTGTCACTATTTCCATTGTTTCCCCATCTATTTGCCATGAAGTGATGGGAACGCATGCCATGATCCTCGTTTTTTGAATGTTGAGCTTTAAGACAGCTTTTTCTCTCTCCTGTTTCATTTTCACCAAAAGACTCTTTAGTTCCTTTTTGCTGTTGCCATAAAAGTGGTATCATCTGCGTGGATTATTGGTATTTCTCCCAGCAGTCTTGATTCCAGCTTATGTCTCATCCAGCCTGACATTTCGCATGATGTACTCTGCATAGAAGTTAAATAAGCAGGGTGACAATATACAGCTTTAATGTACTCCTTTCCAAATTTGGAACCAGTCTGTTGTTCCATGTGTGGATCTAACTGTTGCTTCTTGACATGCATACAGATTTCTCAGGAGGCAGGTAAGGTGGTCTGGTATTCCCATCTCTTGAAGAATTTTCTACAGATTGTTGTGATCCACACAGTCACGACTTTGACATAGTCAATGCAGCAGAAATAGACATTTTTCTGAAACTCTCTTGCTCTGTCAATGATTCAGTGGATATTGGCAATTTGATCTCTGGTTCCTCTGCCTTTTCTAAATCCAGCTTGAACATCTGGAAGTCAGTTTACGTACTGTTGAAGCCTGGCTTGGAAAATTTTGAGCATTACTTTGCGAGCGTGTGAGATGAGTGCATTTGTGCTATAGTTTCAACATTTTTGGCATTGCCTTTCTTTGGGATTAGAATGAAAACTGACCTTTTCCAGTCCTGTGGCCACTGCTGAGTTTTCCAAATTGCTGGCATATTGAGTGCAACACTTTCACAGCATCATCTTTTAGGATTTGAAATAGCTCAACTGGAATTCCATCACCTTCACTAGCTTTCTTCATACTGATGCTTCCTAAGGCTCACTTGACTTCAGACTCTAGGATGTCTGACTCTATGTGAGTAATCACATCATTATGGTTATCTGGGCCATGAAGACCTTTTTTTGTATAGTTCTTCTGCGCATCCTTCCCACTTCTTGTTAATATTTTCTGCTTCTGTTAGGTCCACACAATTTCTGTCCTTTATTGTGCCCATCTTTGCATGAAACATTCCCTTGGTATCTCTAATTTTATTGAAGAGATCTCTAGAGTTTCCCATTCTGTTGTTTCCTCTATTTCTTTGCACTAATCACTGGGGAATGTTTTCTTATCTCTCCTTGTTATTCTTTGGAACTCTGCATTCAAATGGGTATATCTTTCCTTTTCTCCTTTTACTTTAACTTCTCTTCTTTTCTCCGCTATTTGTAAGGCCTCCTTAGACATCCATTTTGCCTTTTTGCATTTCTTTTTCTTGGGGATGGTCTTGATGACTGCTTCCTGAACAGTGTCACAAACCTTTGTCCATAGTTTTTCAGTCACTGTGTCTATCAGATGTAATCCCTAGAATCCGTTTGTCACTTCCACTGTGTAACTGTAAGGGATTTGATTTAGGTCCTACCTGAATGGTCTAGTGGATTCCCTACTTTCTTCAATATAAGTCTGAATTTTGCAATAAGACATTCCTGATCTGAGCCACAGTCAGCTCCAGGTCTTGATTTTGCTGATTGTATAGAGCTTCTCCATCTTTGGCTGCAAAGAATATAATCAGTCTCATTTTGGCATTGACCATCTGGTGATGCCAAAGCAAAAACAAGGTCCAGTTGTGGATGTGACTGATGATTAATTAAATTAAATTAAATCATTTATTTTATACATTAATATTTTAATAATACTTTAATATATTATATTAATATTAATGTTAATTAAATAATTGAATGAATTAATTAGCTATTAAATTATCATTAAATTAATTAATATTTATTAAATTTTAATTAGCTTAATTTAAAATTAATTAAATTTTAAATTTTAATTTAAAATTAATTAAAATTTACTTAATTTAATAAATTTATGTTATATTAATAATAAATTGATATTTATTAAATAAAAATAATTAAATAAATTAAATAATTTATATGATTTAATATCCTTATTTATTACTTTTATCACCTCTTTCGTTTCCAAGTTTGCCATCACTGAATACTCTCTCCTGATTATAGGTACGTTTTCCTGCTTCTTCACCTGTCAGGTAAATTTTGTTTACATGCTGCACTTTGTGATTTTACCATGCTGATTACTAAATTTTCTTGTTCTCCTTGAAAGAATTTTAGACTTTCTGTTATCAGGCAGTTAAGTTGATTTGGAGATTAGTCCAATGCCCTGTAGGCTTGCTTTTAAGCTCTTTAGTGGAAGTTCTACAGTCATTCTAGTTCTAAATTATCCCCATTTCAAAAGTGTTGCCCTCTGGAGTCTCTAGGGAATGCCTGAGTAATTTATTGACATCTGTTCATTCTCACTGGATAGACTTTGAATAATTCACACACTTAGTAGGAGGTGTCCAAATTGTCTTAGAAATTTCTGGTGATTTTTCTTTTCCCTAATCTTGGTAAGCTTCAGAGAATTTTATTCTGCAAGGGTACACTTGATATTTAGTCATAAACTGAAGGAAAATCTTTATATATTTCCATAACAATCTTCTTTTTAGCATAGCTCAATTCCCTATGGAACTCTAGTCCACAAAGTCTCTTGACCTGTCCTTATCTGACGTTTTTTTTTCTCATTTCACACAATTTCTGGGTCCCTTTTAGGGTTTTTCTTCCCAATAGTATAGTCTAGTATTCACCTGCAAGAAAAAAGCCTGGAGAATGGTAGAGCCTACTTATTTGTTTACCTTTTCTCCAAGACCATCATGCCGTGCTCCCTGTTGTCCATTGGCTGAAAAAATCATTGCCTTATTTTGTTCTGTTTTCTAGTGGTTTATGGGAAGGATGCTAAGTTTCCATCCTGTTACTCTCTCATAGCCATTACAGAGTTCACTTCTTAGGTCTTTCAATGAGAAAAGAAGAGAGATTCTCGTAGAAGCAGAGATTCTTCAAGGTAAACATCAGAAAACAAAACCAGAATCTTTTCTAATAACACCATCTGATGTGAAGTGTCTGGGGCAAGAATTACTCATGTCAGGTGCCTAGCTGGAAAATGGGCCAGAAAAACATAAGAAGATTTCCTGAGTGCCTACTTACTATCACTCTGAGGCCCACAAGGCCTTGCCCCATCCTCACCCCATTCACTTTACATTCACATCACTTCTGTACCTATCTTTTTCCCCATTCTGAAAATTTCGTGCATAGAGAAGTTATTCTTTCATCATAAACATTATTATTATACACCAGAAAAGGTTGATTCCTAGGACATTAAAATATTGACATCAACTATGAATTACTGGTACCTAGTCCCCTGATGCTGGGAGGGATTGGGGGCAGGAAGAACAGGGGACGACAGAGGATGAGATGGTTGGATGGCATCACCGACTCAATGGACATAGGTTTGAGTGGACTCCAGGAGTTGATGATGGACAGGGAGGCCTGGTGTGCTGTGATTCATGGGGTCGCAAAGAGTTGGACACGACTGAGTGACTGAACTGAACTGAACTGAGTCCTTTGATGAGAGTTGGGTTGGAGTAAGGAACCCTAGTAAGACTTGTGACCTTGCTGGACTTTCTAAGAACCCTATCTACCAAGATGATTGAATTCAATATATTGATCCTTTCTCCTGTTTTCCCCTCTGTCTGCAGCTTGGATAAGGTGGCTTTTCTCATGCATGATTATGACTTGAGAAGAACAACCAATATCTTGGACATCATGCCAAATGCCTCCCACACACACAGTAGCTTTTTTTATTGGGATTTCCTGTCAACTCTGAATGCAGGCAAATGGTTTTCAGATTCATGGGTAAGACACATTTCCTGGGTCCAAAACCCTGCATTTACTCTCTCTTGTATGGTCATGTGCTATTCTTGGAGATAAATACAGTGTGTACAGCTGTAATTTTGATGCAAGTGTGAAGGTTTCTACTGAGAGAGTTGGAGAACATTTCATGCAAAGGTGCCATCTGAGCTAAAATGAGGTCATTTTTAAGGGGAACCAAGGGCAATGTTAGTGGTTTGTTTCAGAGATTCTACTATAATGGACAAGAGGGGATGTGGAGTGTGTGTGTGTGTGTGAGTGTGTAAGAAAGGAGAAGGGGAAAAGTGGTAGGGAGGAGAAGGGAGAGAGAGAGTGAGAGAAGAATCAGGAAAATATATCATAACGAGACTATAGTGAAGTCGCTCAGTCATGTCCGACTCTTTGTGACCCCATGGACTGCAGCCTACCAGGCTCCTCAGTTTATGGGATTTTCCAGGCAAGAGTACTAGAGTGGGTTGCCATTTCAGCAGTGCTTAAATAACAAGTTAGAGAGTTGAGAATTATCCTGAGTATTTTAAATGGGTAAAACAAAAGGTCAAATTTGCATGTGATGAAAGTCAAGCCTGACTTTCTCAGAAGTATTCTCAGAATAGTTAAAGAAAACAAAAAAACTTATATTTTCCAGATTATCATATGTCTAAAGGGAATCCACACGAACTAGGTTTTATCAATCAGATATACTCATTTTTTAAAATTAATTAATTTTAATCGAAGGCTAATTACAGTATTGTGGTTTTTGCATTTTGAGTCTTTGATTTTGATAGCAAATATATGAGAAGCAAGCATTCGTACTGGTAGCACCTATGGCAGCAGAACTAGGATAGTTGGGGGCAGCTGTGGTAATAGCTCTCCTATCAGGTAATTGTGTAATCGGGAAAACAAATTTTCAAATACTTTTGATTATGTACTAGGAATTTTATTTATATTTAATGTTAATCTAGAGGACAAATTTAATCTTTTTTCATAATAAAAATGTGAAAAGTAAAGAATTATGTGAGGGTAGATTTATCCACTTCAAATTCATTCTATGAACTAGTGTTAATATAAGAAATAGCTGCAGATTGATTTGTAATGACTGTATCACCTCAGAATACTTATTTTCATATGAGCACATAGCCTATAAGCACTGTTACCATATGTGAAAGTAATAGGATCAATCTGATAGTATGGGTTTCTGTGTGTAGGCTCTGTATATATCCTCATACATGAATAGACACACAGAAACTAGAGATGCTTCATTAGAATGTATGTATATATTGGCTTAGTTAGCCATAGATAATGTATGTTCCAGATGAAAAGACTATTACTGTATCTATTTTGTAACATATGGCTGGTAAAAGTCACACTGGTAAGTGGTGTGATTGGATATGTTATTGTAATAAATTTTGGGGGCTTCTTTTAGGGTTAACAGTTTCCTGTCAGCATATTTAGATGGTATGCTTGCAGTGCTTTGTTTTGCTATTGCTTTGGCTACTGAGGAGTATCCTGAGACCTCAGCTTCAAATATGGTTATCTGAGTGCAAGTAATAGTTGCTCAGTCACGGCTGACTCTTTGCGACCCCGTGGGCTGTAGCCTGCCAGACTCCAGGTTCGACTGTGGAACTTTGTTTGCATGCTGTGTGTTCGCAGGTGGTCAGAGTGATGATAGCGCCTAATTTAAAGATTCGGATGTTTGGATAATTTTCCATAGCAAGATAAATTGGTTTTCTTTGTGAAATGTATTCTGGGTTGCTCTTCATTTGGATGGGTATCATTATGGATTGATACGGTGGTGAGTTGGTGATTATTTGTTAGTATATTTGTTCTTCTTGAGATTTCTTGTGAAAATTAAGTAGTTAATCTGATCAGAAGTGAAATAAAAATAGAACAGAAATTCTAGGTTGTCCCTGGAAACTTAGCTGAGTTCCCCTTTCTCCAGTAAAACCTACCTTTGTGTGGAACATTTTTATATCCTTTTTGTGAAAGTATAAATCTCAAAATTACAGAGATATAATTCTCACACATATAGATAGTAAGCAGGGTATAAATTTTAATTAACATGTTAACGTAGGAACAAAAAGGATGACAAAACCCACTCAAAAGAAAAGTGAGAAACCAACATGCAAATACTCAGTACGACAAAGTAATGCTGAAATTACATTGCTAAGTTGGATACAAATCTAGTGTATTATTTTGGTTAATATACTCCGTGACAATAAAGTTTACTTTTAGAGTTCTCTATCAAAACTCATTTGCATCTTGACTGGACAAAAATATTTTCCTCTTTTATCAGTTTTATAGAAGTCAACATCTAGCTTTATATTGTCTGTCCCTAATTAATAGTAAATAATTCAAAGAAAGGTACATTCCCCTAAGAATCCAATGACTCTTAGATGTGTCTGGTAAGAAAAAGTGCTACCCTGATGCTGGAGGGTTCAACAAGTCTTAATTCTGAGTTTTGAATAATTTAGGCCCTCTCTTGTGATCATAAATAAACTCTGTAGATTATTTAGAGGCTGATCTTGTGATTTTGTATTATTTGGCTCTGTTGATCAGTGCAGTTAAAAGGGTCAGTTAACACACATAAAGTTCCTTGTATAATCAGCAAATCTAGAGCCAGGTTGTGTTAAACAACTACTAAGGCTATTAAATGAGGTTCTGTCTAGAGAGTATATAGAGAAATCTAGAATTTTGCTTTTAATAGTCCCTATCATTCCAGAGATCTCTTTCTCACTACTACTTTAAAAATTAGAAGTTCACTTGAACCAGTTTTCACATGTATAGCTACAAATATGGGCAAATTTCTCTCTCCTTTTCCTGCTCATCATTGATCTTTCTTACTACCTGTAATGCTGAGGCAATGTGCAACAAGGGACACCATTATAGTTTGCCTAGGAAGGCGTGTATACATTGGTTCCAAATACCAAGTATGTGTGTATCCTTAGTGGGGATTGGGGGCTTGTCATGTCAGATTGAATGACGTGTAATCTGAAATATGATCTTCAGATATAACATTGACAACACAACTTTTCCAGTTATATCCTAGTGTAAAGGGGGGCATATTTCTATTCAATTTTATGTAGATGACTGCCCTGAAACATAGTGACTCAATAAAAAGAATTTGTACCTGAATTCAGAGAGGTGGTGAGAACAAGTTACTAAATATTGGATTGGCCAAAAAGCTCCTTCAGTTATTAAGTAAAAATGAAACACACATTTTTAATTTTTACCAAGATGTTTATTGAACACCATATTGACCTTTTTGTCCCACTACCTTCTGCCATTTTTCTGGCAACTTTGTAATTCTGTCTTCCAAAACTTTTTATCTTTCTGAGCAAAGAACTGCTCCTTATGCAGTCTTTCAGGGAATTGAATTTTTTTTCCCCTAAAAGAATTTTGTGAAGACTGAAATCAATGGAAATCCAAAGGCGCAGTGTCTGGTGAATATGGCAGTTGAATCAGAACTTGCCAGCCAAGCTGTAACAGTTTTTGCCTGATCATCAAATAAATGTGCAGTCTTACATTACCCTGTTGGAAGATTATTTTCTGTTGACTAATTCTGGATGCCTTTCATTGAATGCTGTTTTCAGTTAGTCTAACTGAGAGCAGTGCTTGTTGAAATTTATGGTTTGCTTTTCCTGAAGAAGCTCATACTGGAGGGCTCCCTTCCAACCCCAGTATATACACAACGTCGCATTCTGTGGGTGAGGACCAACCTTTGGTGTGGTTGATGGTGGTTCATTTCGCTTATGCTTGATCTCTTCCATTCCACATTATTGTACAGTATCCACTTTTCATCATCCATCACAACTGGTTTTAGGGAATGTTTTTGTTATGTTTAAGTAGAGAGTTGCATGAAATATTTTCAAGAAGATCTTTTTCACGTAACTTGTGTAGAACCCAAGCATCAAAGCAATAAACATAATCAAGTTAGTGAGAATGATTTTGAGTGCTTGATTTGGATATTTTGAGTAAGTCGGCTATCTCTTTGTGGTGTAACTTTGTTCTTAATTAATGTCTTGATTTGATTGCTATCGATTTCAACTAGTCTCCAGTCTAGTGAGAAATCTCCAGCACTAAATTTCACATACCACTTTTGACATGTTCCATCAGTCACAGCACCTTCTCCATACATGGCACATTTTTTGGGGCATGTTTCAGTTGTGCTTTTGCCTTTCTTGAAATAATAAAAGTATAACATGCTGAAAATTTTGCTTTTTTGATTCCATCTTCCATATTAAAATGGCTACACAATTTCTGTATGATTCAGGGAACTCAGATCTGGTGCTCTGTAACAGCATAGAGGGATGGGATGGGGTGGGCGGTGGGAGGGAGGTTCATGAGGGAGGGACATATGTCATACCTATGGCTGATTCATGCTGATGTGTGGCAGAAAACAGCACGATTTAAAAAGTTATTATGATGGATTAAAAATAAAATTGCTACACAAAAATTCACCAATTTTGATAAGTTTTTTTAAAAATGCACACTGATATGACAGCAGTCACAGTAGAACCTAAGAAAATTGTTTCGAATGAAGTTAAAGACAGCTAATTGCTTCTAGAGCCATCTTATGGGAAAAGACCAATGAACATTTTGGCCACCCCAATATTTATTATGTTATGCCTTCTTGATGTTTTTACCCTTTTATCATTACATCATGACTTTTACTTCAATCCATTTACATCTCAGATGATTGTTGGTATGTAAGAACATACTACTGTGAATTTATCTTCTATTTTTTGATTATTTCATATCTCTATTGCTTCTTTTTTCTTGTGTTTCTGTCTTTTTAATTGGTGATTTTCCATGGTTATTTGCTCAGTTTTCCTCTTTATGTTTGCTGTCTGTACTCTATAGTTCTTGTTTTCTGAGTACTATGAGGTTTGAATAGAAAATCTTTCTTGTAGTTTGAATAGTTCTTTTCCTGTTGATAGCAATTTATCTTAACTTGCTGTCCTCCCTTTTTATATTTTTACTGTAGAAATTCTGTCTCTTTATTCTGT